GCTGCATATACATAAGAAAATAAGAGTACAATTCTAATTTTAATATAATTATATGAAATTTTTTATCAAAATGTATAAAATAAGCAATTTTAATTTTAATATGTTCTTTTTAAAGCAATTTTATAAACAATATGTTTGTGTGTTTTTATTTCTATAAAATTTTTACATATTTATATTAGAATATAGGACTGCTTTTTTTATTTCTTTTACATGCATTTCTGAAACATATAAAGAATGAATGGTAATAATTAATGAAACAATGTAGAAATTATTGCATTTTAACGCTTTATTCTAATTATATAACACTACAGTCTTTGTTAATTCTAGCATTACTAAATTTTTTTTTCTTAATGGAAAAATTACGAAGCATAAAAGATTTAATAGTTTAATCATTTAATTGTAATAGTCTAAATGATTATCATTTGCGCTTTCTGTATCATTGTCGGTTCTGTGAATACTTATTAGCAGCAATTATTGACCAGCATTTTTCTTTTTTAAATCTTCTATAGTCTTTTTAACGATAGCCTCCCATTGTACAGGATTATTTGTTGTATACCAGTCGACTAATGTATCCAAATGATGCTTTTGCTTTTCAGTACATCTTTTGCATTTAGTTTGAAATGCTTCGCTGAAGAATTCTGAAATAAAAATAAAATAATTTCACACTTTCTTTTTTTAATAATTGTAAGAAATTTGTGAAAATTAATACAGCTTATTAAAGCAAAAATTATTTAGTAAGCCAATATCTATTTAATAAATGCAGTTTTTTTCAACAAGTAAGATCAACATTTTTTCCGTTATATTTGTAAGGAATTAATCATTTCTATAAAAATTGACTTAGAATACAAGAATATTTGACTAACAAATGGTATGCAATATTTTTTACATGTATATACAGAATGTTCTAGTTTTATAGCACTTATTTCTGAACGATAGATCTCTTTGAGCAATTCGGTCTTGTTAGAAAGAATTTAAAACATTTTTATTGCAATTTTTATATTTTTTCACTTTTTAAGATTATTATTATTTTTTATTGTTTTTAAAATTATTTTCATTTAATTATATACATCTTTATATAATTAAAGACTATAAAACTCTATAAAATTATAAAATATAAAACTCTTAAATTTACTAAGTTTATTTGGAATTAGCTGATAAATATTTTATCATTGATTTTTTTCATATTTAGTTGACAACACAAATTTTTTATTTATGGTTATTACATAATCAAAAATTGTTGAGATATTTTAATATTATTGTATTAAAAAATTTCTATTTCAAATTAAAAAAATATATATATATATGTACATACGTTTAAAAAACTTTGCATCTCCTGTTATGCATGGTCCGGTGTCCATGAAACATTTGTAATATTGTTCTCGCAGTTTGTTATTTTGGAGAATATTTGCGATATTAACATCATCGTACTTATCCGAATACAGCTCTTCCTCTGCGAGCACGTACACCAGTGCAATACTGATGAGTATCACCACAAAGCTTAGCCGAGTCATTTCTTTGTCTATTACTCTAACTCTTACGAGGTACTGGACGATCGATTGATTGTGCGGCTTATTTATACGTCTTAACGGAAATAAAAAATTGTTACGTAAAAGATAATTACCCAGGTAGCAATAACATATTCGTTTCAGAAATGTTTCTTTGAAATGTTTTATAATGGTTTTTAAAAACGTTTCTCATTGATTAAAATGTCAATCCCAAAAACGTTAAAAGAAACATTATTTTTCGACAAAACGTTTAA